GGCGTCAAGTACTCGTACACCCTGGAGCTGCCCGACCGCGGCCGCTACGGCTTCCTGCTCCCGGCCAGCTTCATCGTCCCCACGGGCAAGGAGGCGTTCGCCGGGCTCAAGGAGCTCACCCAGGCCATCGTGTGCAGGAACAATGTGTACTAAAGAAACTTTTCCGCCCTGTGTGACGGCAGGATCAGCCTCAAGCACAGTCGCGTGGCTGTGAGTGTTTTTTTTGTTGTTGTCTTTTTTGTCTATCGAAAGGTGTTTCCTTCCCCTCCTCTCTGTGTAGGTTTTGAAAATCTTAAAACGATTCATTATGTAATAATTTCGTTCCTTCTTGTATTTTAGGATCTATTTGAATTTACGAAATGTTGTCGTTTGTCGATGTTTTCCGAATTCCAAACGAGGTTGTAAAATTGGTAAAATCAGGGGTCCCGGCGAGGCGGCCCACGAGCGACTTTGTCGTCGTTCGCGCTCTCTCACTCTTGTGGGTCACCCGTAAGTTCGTCTCTCTCACACTATGATTAGTGCTGTCGTTATTCATGACCCCTGTTGTAAATCTGTTCTACACTGCGACGATTCTTGGCACTTTTCTTCTTCCGTTGTGGAGTTTGATGGATGTTAGTTTAATAGGTTTTGTTATTCAATGTTCAACGTCAATCAATGGTGTGTTATTAGGAGATGCCATCAGGACTAAAGTACTTTTACAAAATCATCGACATGGTGAGGATAATAAAGCTCAGTGAACAGAGAGATGAACTACTCTTCCTTTTATCGTACAGATTTGTTCCATTACATGTCATATATATGATTAGACAATGAAAAGTAATTATTTATTTAGTATTTATTTATCTGTCAGTAGTATTTGTTGATGTATTTATTTGTAAATTATTATTCTTCTAGTGCCATAGTACATGTCCATTTCTTAGTTCACCGTAAATAGTGTATATCTTCTTGTTTAATATGTTTTCTCATAATGAACTGTGCTAGATCAAGTACGCTGTCCGTTTCCCCTCTTATACTTACGTTTTGCTTCTGAAGACAATAAAAATCATCGAATAAAGACACGCTCCGCCTACTTAACTTGTGTGTGTACGCCATGAGTGCACCCCCCAGCGAGACCACCCCAGCCGCCTGGGCGTACGATGGGTTGCCTACCCCGCGGGCACAGGCGGACCTCGCGCGCCTGTCGGATAGCTGGCGCCGCCAACGGGCCGCCACGGCGGGCTCTCCCGCCACCTACCAAGGGCACGACCTGCTGATGGGTGAGTACATTGTGTCAAATAGGCGTGCGCGCACTATTTGTTGGTGTCTTTTCCTTAATTATCTTCTTCTTTTTTTTTTCGAAGTTTTTCTCTCGTGTAAGTCTTAGTGTAATTTATCCCTCGTTAAGCCAAAAATGAAATTGTTTCTGTCTGTCTGTCAGTCTGTCAGTCAGTCAGTCAGTCTGTCTGTCTGTCTGTCTGTCTGTCTGTCTGTCTGTCTGTCTGTCTGTCTGTCCGTCTGTCCGTTCGCCCGTCCGCCCGTCCGCCCGTACTAGCGGATGGGCGTCCGCAGGCGGGACGCTGAGGTACGACCGGTCCACCGGTGGTCGGCCGGTCGTCGGCCTCCAGCTGCATCTGTGGGACAAGGCCTCGACCAATTTGCCTGCTCCCGTCGGCGGCAGGTCCGATACTGCGGCTCGGAAAAATGACGAGATTGCGTGCATTTTGTGTGCTTTTTTTGGTCCGTGTGCATTTGGTGCGGAAGCGGGGCCCGTAGTCGTGCGAGTGAAACGTGGACGTGAATGTCGATCAAGACGACGAGACGTACGTCGTAAATGAGACGTCGGGGAGCCCCGTCGGATATGGAAAATAAATAGATTAGACGTTATTTTGGGCAATGATTCCAAAATTGGCTCATCGGTATTTTTCTACTTTCG